AATATACGTTCGCTGATATATGGGACAATTAGATATTAGTACGAACTGAAGTGAAATGAACCATTATTACTGGAAATAGACATGTTACTAAATTTACAGAATACTAATCTCTTCGTGTCTGCTCTGTGTGTCTGAATTTTGAGATCAGTCGTACATAGCCACACGATAATTAATCTTTCGAAGTAGTAAATGTCACATAACCACGATTGATTTTTTGTTTAAGGCCTTTTAGTTGCAATTAATGGCATCTGCTGAAACAGATTTAAAAGAACTAGAATCGTTTATTTACTGTAAAATATAAATTACTTAAGAAACTAGTTTGTATTTCAAGTTGCTCATGATTGAAAATTTTACTTCCCTCCTTCCTCCTCTATGGCCTATATTAACAGAGTTGAAATTTCAGCGACTTACAGCAAAAACTCGATAGCTACAGAAGAACAAGACTGAAAGTTTTTGTAATTATCGGGACCCGTGCGATAGTCGAAGCAACCAATCCAATAAGAAGAAACCCCAATTACACAGGATATTCTCGCTACCTGTGAACAGTCCTTGACCTCTCATGTAATCATCGATGTCTTCTCAACGATCGGCTTTTGTCTCAAACGGAAGTCACGGCACTCGTTGCTAAGTAACCATTTCTCCTACTTGTCAACACAGTGCTCAACTCCTCAACTGTATTTGAATGCCAATCAATGGCCGAAACGTGAATTCTGCTGAGTTTCTCTAAATCTACAATTTACACTTGTAGTCGCAGCGATCAGGTACGCAAATCTCGTAATCGTACAATGTAAATTAAATGGATGAGACTATAGTTTGTTTGATGTTGTATTTTAGATATGTGTGTAAATTGTTCTTAAGAATCCGAGGCATACTCACTGAAAACTATGTTTAGTTTCCAAACTGAAATAAAAACCAAATTTTCTTTGTTTAAGTCTTCTTTAAATATGAACAATATCAACAATTTTCTAAAATATTTCTAATGACATTATTTGTCGTGTGTTCTATAGAATTATGTATCATTTGTATGAATGTTTTGGGATAACTATTTAGAAAGTCAGTCAACATCGAATTTAGAAGCTACAAGACGCGATGAAAGATACGCTGTACTTAGTTTATACGCTCTACTGGAATCGTAAAGTTGTAGATCATAGATAAAACGTTTTGCTTTACTGTTATATCTCTAAAAAGTATTTTACTTGGTAGATTAAATGTTTCGTTCCGCGCACATTACACGTTGAATCTTATTAAAACGTTCAAGTGCGGTGCACCAATTGTCCCCATTAAGATGGCGAGAAATTATATGATTATGTACGACGAGCTCCTTTTGTTTGAAAAATGTTCTTGAAGATGTCAGCTATTCTGGACCAGGTCGTTGAAATCTTCTCGGTAAACGTACTGCATTACCTTTCTCCATTTACAGCGGAAGGAGCAACAATCTCTTTCAACGATCCAATAATACAGTGTTTTCACATTAATCAAATAGTCACTTTGAAAGTTCAGCGTTTCACTCGATAAAAGTAACAAATATGCATACTCCGACAATCGATGTTTATAAATTACGATACTGCACATCTGATATATTTATGCCATATGCTAATTTAGAAAGTATATCCAAAATGTAAATAGAATACGTTTCATGATTTAGTATAATAATATCAATATTTTACCAACTTTCGACTCGTCACAGATGTATAAACATTCGCAGTCTAATTATTACGAATCAATGTTTTTATACTATGACACGAAATACATGTATGAGATATCAGATTTTGGATTCTCGCCTACAATCAAACATTTCTTCAAGAAACAGGTGAAAACAAATAAATGAATAGTATATTATTTAAGTTTTATTTAGCGAGTACTTGTCGTTCCGAAAGAAAGAAAATTTAGCCTTCGGCGAACGAGCTGTGCCAACCATACCAGCCAACGATACGCCGGAGACTCTCCCTGTCAAGCCGCCTTATATTCTGTATATACCACCCAGGAGGCAACAACGTTCCTCTAGAGATCAGTATGACTATCGGTGTGTACGGATACCGGCGCACTATGGAAATAAAGCACTTCCGAGCTCCGCGAGAAATGCATACGTTCCCCCCGGCTACCCCTGAAAACCGTCCTTCGAGATCTCTGGGAATCCCTCCTCGTCACCAACCCTCCTCGAAGAACCGAGTACCCGGTGATACGGCTCTCGATTAAAGCTACACGAGAAGGAAGTCGTTACGTTCCTTCGTGGTTGCTTGAGCAGTAACGAAATTCATTTCGACGTTGTTGACGTGACGGTCGTTACGGTATTTTGTCTTCTTCGCTGTTAACTTCGTTCGCCAAGTAGTTTGTGCCGTAGGGGTCCGACGACGAAAGAGGAAACCCGTGTCTAGGTTACGACAGTTTCGATGAAGAACCACCGCCTTGCGTGTCTTTCGTGCGTGATGATCCTATCTACGACTTAGTATTTGCGACATGAATTCCAGTTTTGTTCGGATGCATCTCCTCGTGTAACGAAGCGACAGGAAGCAAACAGAAGGAATGTCTTGGAAAGAATCAGAAAGACTATCGTAACTTCTACCAGGGGTTGAGTTTGAGTCCATCTCGCAAGCGATGCGGAATGCTGCCACGTTTCGAATTCATTAATAGGTTTATGCCGTGTAGTGTACACGGTGGCCGGTAAGGTATTCGACTAATTTCGCCTGGATAACACGCCTGAAACGATAAACACGTTCAGTAATGATGCACGCGAGACGAGATAAATCTCGATCTCGTCTCGATCTCGTTTTCGTTAATTTTGTCTCATAAATGCATAAAATAATTTGTAAGTAGAAACGGATTTCCGAGGCGTTGTTACCTAATTTCACTCTATATGGAAAATAATTTCTTAATGCTGATTGTTCGTGTATGCTATAACGAAGTAGGTATCAGATAAAGCGTTCAATTTTGAATTGATTGATACCTATTGCCACTAAGGAGATATGTATTAGGTCGCAATTGTGCCTATAGTATCAAAGTAGGCCTCAGTTGCATCACACTAATTACATCTTGCCAGGTAGCTATGAGTAATATGTACGTAATCATTGAATTTGCATAAGCCAGAGTTAAAGCAACAGAATTTAGAACATGATCAGATTATTGTAGGTGATTGAAGAAGTGATTGATCCAGGATTATCGTACCATTAAGTTTGCGGGTTATACGTATTTAGATTATTGATGCACAAGAGATTTAAAAGGACTGTCGCTTACGACTTACTCTCTATTCGGTGATACGGGTATCTCAAAGCTTTCCGCTTCTCGATGCAAAAAGGTTAAAATCTGTTCACCGTACGCATCACAAATAGTTTGAACTCCATCTCAAGCTGCATTACTCTTTCTGAATTCATGCAGCGTATAATGGCTCGAATAGACTTCGCTTACGCTTACTTCCTACCTTCTTCCAAATGGAAAATCTAGTTGTGGATACACGAAATTCTTGATTTACGTTATAGAAAATATTTTTACCTGAAAATTCATGTAAAAGTTTACCAACAAGTACGCATTTAATATAAAACAAAGAACGAAATCTATTAGAGAGTTATTTCATCTCTCTACTCGCAGAAAAGTCATGTCACGGTATCTTAAATTAATTATTGAATGTCACATATTCAAAAGTCAAGTAAACGTAGGATGTTACCTGAGTTTTTTTCCATTTTTGCATTATTGTCTTCACAACAAGAACCGTATTAACTCTTGACTCTCATGGAGGAGTTGCAACTCTTTACTGAATTTTCCTCGTCCTTCTTCTTTTATGCATGAACATGATAAAGTGGCGCAATATCCACCGTTTACCATAGTATGACTTTGTTAAAAGTCAGTTAAAAGTATGTCTTCGTAACTCCTAAACATTCTGTCCCGTACTCTTTTCATTATCTGACCGACTTTGACTTTATCGGCTCTTATCTTGAAAGAGGATTATAATAAAAAACCAAGGTTTCATCCCCAATTGCAATCGACTTTAAAATTGCAGTGTACTCAGTTGAAAGGTAGCATTGAAATAGTGTTTCAGAGAAAAAAAAATGATCCATAGTGATAGAAGCCGGTTGGTTGGCGGAGCAGGTCGGTATACGTAGTGCACTATGCCTGGTTCAGGTGGTGCGCGATTATTGGCCTTGCTACTTAACGGGTCATGTCAAAAGGCGTTGGAGTCAGAGAGACCAACAATTAACACGTCTCCGGGTCAAATTAACCGAGCGGAAATCTTGGTGCACGCCCGGTTTTATAACCGAAAACGTGCGAACATTCCCATAGTTTAGTCGAGTTTCAGTTTGCAAAGGAAGCCTTATGATCGCATTGTCTGGTGCACGAAGAACGGAATAATGGAGGAAACGAAGAGAACCGTGCGAGGTCGGAGTAGCCGAAGGGAAGGGAAAGAAACGAACTGAAAACGGAAGGGAACTGGAGACCCGATGGAAAGTGTGCGAAAAGCGATTTTAACGAGCAGAGAGACCGGGACGCTAACTGTCCACGCTAACTTAACCAGCGCGATAGCGTTTCATTTACATAACCGTAATCCTACTTAGAGGAGGATGCCTAATTCCCCTCGTACGTTTTCGTTTCACCGTTGCCGTGTGCCAGAATTCCGGGCCGAGCGGTCAAGTATCCGCGTACCTACTTGTTTGTTTCCTCGTAAGAAACACTTTCCCCGGTTATTTCGGAACAGTCGTCGAAAAACGTTGTTTGAGAATGAAGCCACTGCCCGAAAACTCGATTCTCGGTCGCTGAAAGTCGAGATTACGGCCACTCGAATGAGAAACGTAAAGAGGAAACGGCGCAATCGAGGTAAACAGAGCGCCAGATGCTTGGGATTGCTATTGGACGTCCATGCGTATGCGGCTTTCGCGGTGAGCTTACGTTTAACAGCCGCGGTTGCCTAGCTTTTCAACCTTTACATTCGATTCGGAGATGGTGGCAAACAATCGGAGAAGGGTGGAATAATGGAAAGCTGGACGGGAATAAGTATACCTTTCTATTTACAAATACGTCATATATTTACATACTTATCGCGACGTTACACATATAAATGATACAGTCACACGCGCGCTACGTTCAACGAGTAAAATAACGTCGATCGTTCGTCCAGTATCGATAGCGCGCTGTCGCACAGGACGCTGCGTATAAAATAATAAATTAATTCGTTGAAAAAAAAGAAAAGGAGAGAGGTGTCTAAAAGTTAGGAGCTAGTTGATGCATTTTATGGCTTGGCAGCATCGTCACTGCGTATTTCTTAACAATGAGCATCTCTTAAGCTTGTACGCTTTACTTATTTTACGTATCTGCAATACACTGAGTTATGCATAACCATTTGCCAGGAAGCACTATAAAAGTACAAGAAGTTTAAGGTTGCACCGAATACGAAATGCGTGCACGGCGATACGCAGCGGCACTAAGCCCGCGTCGATCAACGTACCGACGTGCAAGCGAACGCGTTAACATTTTATTACCTATATCTGCCGGGTGGTTATATTTCAGACTGTGATCGCGGAGGTTATCAATGTGTCGGGCATCTGCATTTACTACTGCTCTATACAAGAGTGACTTTGTGAGTGTAGAGTGTGTATCTTTGGGTGCTTGTACTTTTAAATGGTTTCACTTGGAAAGACTCCTAGCTGTGCTACTAAACGAAGTCATCTCTCTACTTTAAATAATACATACTTGTGTTTCAAATACCTTTTCGCAAGAATACGTGCGAAGAGAACACACCGAATAGCAGTTAGAACGGATCAAAATTTGACTATCTTTTCTTGACATTTTCTTCTGTTGAGCTCAAAGACTACAGCTTATATTTTTACACGCTGATTTTTGCGAAACTTTGCACAGATAGAGCACTGAAATTTATTAAACAATTATATTTTCTTATCGACATACTTTTATTCAAGGGATGTAAATTGCTCTGAAAGTGTTAGTTGAAATACCTATTTAGTAAAATTTCTTATAAATTAGCGGAGATAAACGACGAAAAATGACGAACTAAATTTTCAGCTAAAGTGCTCTAGGTGCAAATTTGATAGAAATCAACGCGAAGAGTGACGTTTCTTGCAAAACGGGATTTTCACCTAAAAGTCTGTTTCCTCTAATGCATAACTGGTACAGCGTATCTCATCAAAAACAACGGACTAGATGTATGTATATCTGCCTGTTATCGTTGCAAGGGTATGCAAAACCGCGTGTATTGCGTCTAAACGCCCTCAGTGCCGGGCAATGCGTTTCACGTGAAACGCGATTCTCGCAAAAGGTAAGAGTCATTACCCGAAGCAGTTAGACGAGTTTCTGAACTTTCACCTCGGTGAAGGTTAAAGACGTGGAAGCGCGAGGCTGCCTATCGTTTTGCCGCGTCTCAAACGACCGATGAAAGTTGCCCGATGCGCACCTCTTGCCGTGTTCCGCGTAGAGGAACAATTTGTAACCCAGTGACCTAAATGCCTTGCAAAATCTGTGTTGCAAAGTACGGAGTCATCGCCTTTAAGCCCCGATGACTGAATTTCGTTGTCTCGCTTGAGACATTCGCTAATGGCCGTGACACGGTTACTGAACTACACGAGGAGGATGACTTCGATACCTTTTGCTCTTTTTCGTTCGAGTGAAACCCCTTCCAAGAGGTGAACGCCCCGTTCTTGCGCGAACAGAGGAACACTCCAGGACTTTTGGATCCCTCTCGCGTTGCAATTATGGGTCCGATAAGATCTGCCTTGGTGAACGTGGAATCTGTCCGTGCGAAAAAAGGTTTCCGCTGATGCTTGCTTAACATGATAGCACTTCTGGCGGGAAACGAGAATCTCTAAAGTAAATTTCGTTTCGTGATCGGCGATAATCGGCAAGCATCGGTACACCATCCAACGAACAATTATCACTATCGTTCTTCGGCACTCGCGAAAAGAAAAAAGTTACGCAATCGGCAACCTCTTCCCTTCGAAACACCGGAAACGTCTTCGAAGTGCTAACGATACACTGGAGCAATGCGAAGCATCGATGCGGTTTGGAATTGCTTTTTCGACTACCGGTAACAAAATGTTAAATATTCTATAATTAGCAGTACAACTTGAGTCACCAATCATAAATAATGAATTCTTAAGAGAGAATTTGAATTCGAAGAAAAGCCTTCACTTAACACGGCAGGAACGTTTGACTTCGACAAACTTGGTGTAGCAAAATAAAATAAGTCTTTCCGCTGTTGCATAAATTATCGTACACTACCAACAAAAGTCCTAAATGGTTCCTAAATATAAATGAATTGCGTGAAATAATTTAGGACTTTGCTTTATCGGCACTTTTACTTTCCTCCGAAGAAAAGGTAGGTACGGACTCGCTTTTCGCTACCGACCTGGTTTCCTTTCGTGCATCAGCGTACTGATTATTGAAGAAGAGAGCAACGGTCTCTTCTTTCGTTGAATTTGCTTCGTCCAACTCCGCCTCTTTCCGGTCACTAGCATATCCAACCAATGCTTCGGCATTGTTTTTCTGCTCGCTATTGTCCACGGTAATATAATGTCCTTTTTGTGCATCTGCGCTACTAGCCCGTGGCAAATCATTGTAAATATGTTGCAGGGATTGCCCTTCTGGAAGACCTTCGAGTTGGATATTTCCTTGACTCGGTTGCTCGATAGCTGCGAGGATATCTTGCAGAAGTCCGTTCGAAAGCACTTGATCGTGCCTGATGCTGCCGTCCGAATTTTCTGTTCCTAGTCCTCCATCCGCGGGTTGAATTTGCAATGTGTACGTTCCTTTGGATCCCTGAATTTCAAATCCGTCGGCTCCACTGGTAACAGCCAACCCCTTCGCCAAGGACAAAGCCTCGCTGCCTTCGTGAGTGTTCAGAAATTGACTAGCATCCACGTCGCTCGAGCCATGGTTCTTTGCTTGTCCAAATTCTTGCTCGACTAAGCTCGATGCCAATGCCTCGGCCCTTGCTCCATCTTCTTGTTTGAATTCGTGACTCGAAAGACCTGCCTCGAGAGATTGCGTGGAAGGAGGTGGCGAAAGGACATTTGCAACATCGGCTGATTGGCTGTGATCGCTGGACAACACGTTGTCACCGTGTTCGAGGCCATTGTACGCTCCATCCACTGGATTCCCGTAGCTGTCTTTTAAATTGGAATTATGCCCGCTCTGTAGGTTTAACTGACTCGCGGATTGCGTGGCATCAAACGAGTGTGGCGACGGCTCTACTTTGAGAAGCGAATTTTGATGTAGATCAGAGGAAAGAGAGTTACTCGACGACAAGGAAGTGGCGAAACTGTGAGCATAAGATCCCAAGCCTGGCGCGTGAACTCCTGTGTCTTGTAAACTATATTGCGCTCCGCCACTTGTGTGCTGGAAACCGCAATCATAGCCAACGCTCGTAGGTAGCGGTGCGTTCACTATAGGAGTACCATAAGTGGTAGCGATGCTACTGCCAATGCCGTCGTATAGATTCTTTCCGAATCCAATGGAGGCTGAAACGAAAGAAGAAGCGGGTCCAAAATTCGGTGCTCCATAAGTTAGGACCGGCGCCGGAGTATTGAAGTCGCCGAAGGACAATGGCGTCCCGTATTGCGCGTTCGGGGCTGCTATTGGCGAATGGTAACCATTGGCAGCAAATTTGTTGAAAGCGATCGGACCAGTGAGACTAGGCAATTGCTGTTCGAACGAGAATGGTGAAATATAGGACTTTGTTGATTTGGGTGAGTCAAAGTATCGCGGCGGCGGTATGTAACGATTGAGATTGCTTAGAAGTCCACTGGGAATGGGTTCTTTAAATTTAATCGGTTCGCGATTTCTGGGCGGTATCAGGGAGCCGAGCGGAGGTAGAGGAGCTCTGAACGATCCGTGAGGACGATGATGATGGAAGTTCTGCTTGAAAAGTGAACCGCCTTGCAATCCAAATGAAGAAAACGATACTGCTCGACCTGACTCTGGATAGGGTCCCTTAGATGAATAGGAAGAAAGAGGAGGTGCGCTGTACGTGTCGAGTAAAGGTGGTGGTGGTAGAGGTATTCCAGATTCAATAGAGTTCAATTTCCCGAAGGAAACGCTTGGCAACGGTATACCATAGCTACCAGATAGTGTATTCACGGGTGGCAGCGGTAAGTCGTTCCCTACGTTTTGAAACGAGTGAATCTCGGCGCCCCCCAGATGATGATGATGCGATCCACCGTCAAGAATTGGTAATTTCAAAGTTGGCAATGACCCTGCGTTGTGATCCGAATTTAACGGCGATACGTTAGGCAGCAACTCGAATCCAACGGTTTTCACGATGGAAAGGGGCTTGACCTTTGGCACGTCGTACTGTAAATCAGACACGACCTCCTCGGACTCGTGCTTCTTCGGTGGATGATCTTCGTTGTGGAAAGGCTCGAACTGCGGTAACGGAGGCGGCGGCAATCCATCGTTCTCGATGGAACCCGAATGCACAGAACTCTTCAGGTCCTGAGCTTCGGGGTTATGTATCGGAACTCCGTAAGAATCGTTCGGTACGTTTGGATTATCGGCAACAGCGTTCGAGGTAGTTTGCGCTACGTGTAGATTCCCAGAAGAGCCTTCCAGCGAGTGATGCTCATTGTGCTGTAGTCTATAATTTTCTTCGGAATGTCCATGTTGATTAGCCAATCCTGCGATCGGCTGCCAACCGTCGTATTTTATATCCGGTGGTGTAGGTGGTGCTGGTACTCCTGGAGGAGGATGCGGTGCCGGAAGGCTGTAAGCGTCACCAGTGGGAGGACCATACTGAGAGCTAGACACGGACGCATGCAACGGTCCTAGTGGTGGTCCATAGTTGTCGCTAGGTTGGGAATTGAACTGAACGGCGATTTGCTGCGAAGGTGGTCCATATGCATCCAGAGACACGGGGATAGGAAACCCGTGTCCTGGTTTCGTTGGTCCGTGACTTGAAGACGATACGGCTATATATTGATTGGAGACGGCAGAACTGAATTTCAGTGGTGGCCCGTACTGAGTTTTCGGTGGTCTGAACGATGCGAATGAATGCGGCGGTCCATAGTGTTGCTTTGGTGGTCCGTAGTGAAGTTTCAGTGAACTGTAGCTAAGCTTCGGGGGCAAAGGGGACAGAGGAGGTCCGAAACTTTGTTTTGGTGGTCCGTAATGTGGTTTAATATTTCGCGGTGGGCCATACGAAGACAATGGTGGACCATAGACGGGTGGCGGTGGTACGTCTGGCGGCGGCGGTGGATATATCGGCGTTGGTCCTTGATCCCCTACCAGTTCCGGTGGTCCGTAAACTGGTGCTGGTCGCTTGAAGTCTATCCCAATTGGAGGTCCGTATTCGTCAGAGGGTGGACCGTACGAATTACTTATCCTGTCGTCAGCCTTAATCTTGTTCTCTGTTTTCTCTTCGCTTTTACCAGGTGCTTGAGCTTTGTTAATCACTGCCTGACCATGATGTCCGATCACCAGGACGAACAGCAGTGTGATTGTCATCTAAAACCAAAATCAGACTTTTAGGGTTTTACTGGTAGGGCTTTTTCGACATATTAATTTTTGCTAAAATGACGCCGTTACGAAGAAAATATCTGGAAAAAATCGTCACCGTTTCAAAGAAAAATATAAATTAAATACATCCAGATATTGAATATTAATTCATACAAAAATTAAATTAAATTTTAACAATTTATTTCGTGACTTGTGCTTGTACAACAACAACGTGACAACCATCCTGTTAAAGAACTGTGTAGGTTGTCATAATTAGAACTAGCTTATTTAATATTGTCAATTTGGAGAACTTGGTAGTTTCGTCGATGGTTGCATTAGATCTAGAGCATTTGATAATTGCATTGCTATTATACATTACGCTGTAGCTTACGGGAAATAAGATTTTTATTTCACTCCGGTGTTACAGCATCCCTTTATTTTCATCATCTCTACAAAATGTGTACATTCCCTTTTCTGTCACCTAAATTTGAATTTATGCAAGTGTTTTCTTCCTGAACTTGTTCAAATCTTTTACACGCTACGCTCAGGAGCAAGCGTGCAAAATTACAATTTCCGGATTTGGGAGTTAGCTAACTGGTCTGGTAGCATCCCTTGCTCTAATTAGTTCGTCGAGAGCATAAGTGTAGCTTAGTATCGTGTACACATTTCGCTCGTGCCGCACACATTATCTACGGTTTCGTATTGAAGGCCGTGGGAGACTTTAAGCTAGTTTACAACCACCGTTGGCGCAAGACGAGGCAGTCATCCCGACGTATGTGAAAATTATGTGAACCTGCATTTACTCTCTATACGTAATAAACGCATGCGCCCGTGAATAATTGCGTTAATTGCAAAGACACCGTGCGATACGACGTTGAAAGAAATCACGTTTTCTCTTTATTTTCTGATTGTTAACGAGTTGACTTGTATCGTTTAATAATGACACATGGAAAAACTGAATAAGTTTGTATGAATCGAAAGTTTGTAACATTATTATCGAGAAAGTAAAGTAAATTAGATTCTTAACGTTGCAATGCCTCGCAATTTTATGCAGTGATGAACTATGTATGTAATAAAATCTCTGAGTTGTGCTTCTTGATAAGCTGCATTGTTAAAATTTAGCATAAAGTTTTTTGAATTATTCAGTGTTCATTTACCTGTAGTAAAGTTTTCTGTCTCGTAAAAGATTGACAGGAAGCAACAAATCGTGTATGTTTTCAAATGTAAATGTCATCAAGAAACCGTGCTTGGAAGTCTTAAGTGGGACAGTGACCGAGATCTAAGGTTAACATAATAAACCACACTTTCTCCCAAATGCATTCACCAGAAGTGCAGCGAGAGAATGCACTTCAATAAATGAAGAGTCACAGAGTGCAAATCTTATCGTGGATTTCTGTACTCTTTAATACTTCACTCATTCTGACTACACATTATTGATATTGTCTATACCAACTTCCTTTTTTCTTTGAATCATTATAGCTTAATATTGAATTTATTATTACATTTATATATGAATCGAAGAATGAAATCCAAAGCAAGAAAGTGATTTAATTTTATATTTTATATGAGTACGATGACAATGATTGAAAATACAATAGCAACAAAACCTTAAAAAACTGTAGAAAATAAAAATTAAAAGTCCGGTGGGATTATAGCACAAAAACAAAACGAAAGCGTTTTACTTAGCGTTTCCTAAGAGTGAATGGATTCGAATTTACATTTATGTTTACCGATACCATAAACGTTTCGTTACGAAGAGAATTTCAAGCACTTGACAAACTTTTCGCACTTTTGGTTCCGAGCTATGAAATTTTAATTGTAGTTTACATAGTGTAGAGAAGGCAATACACGAAGTGTCAAATAATTACTTAACAAAAAAAAAGGAAAGAAAATTCTATAAACTTCTAGGCACATTTATCTCCGCAAACAAAATTGATAGTTACTTTGATAATAAGAACACATCAGATTTGTACTATTCAACGACGTTGGGTTACATATACGAACCCTTATCAAGTGAACTTACAAGTACCTTTCACAGTTTTCTATGCAAAATTAAAAACAAAAGAAATCTTAATGAGAAAATATGTTCTGTCGACTGTGTCATCAGTCTAGCGCGTACTAGTCTTCCCACGTATTTGTCACATTTTCTAGTCTATGCTGGTTGTCTGACAAATTGATGTCAGAGTTGAAAGTAGCTTATACTTCGAAACAGGAAATACGTAGGCCCGTGTTTACTGGAACTTCTTCTTCTGTTTAGCATATTTATTTATTTGTTCACGATATCCCACTCAATATAAAAAGATTGTATTCAGTATGTAAAAATATATTTCGAAATGGGAACTCGAGAAGAAGTTCCCTAAAAATTTTGTTAAGATTATGCGACCCCTAAAGAAAATAAATTAATATTGTCGTATCCAATTAATATTAATTCGTGGTTATGTCAGTGGTTATTGTTACTTCTGAAAATATTCTCAATCTACCCAGTTTCTCTATGTATTTTTAACATTTCATTATTATCTTTGTCTATAATTATTGGTCGATTACTGCAACATCAAACTCGAATCGCTACTTTCTACGCTTTTAGACTTAATTGAATAGAAAAAGTAGTAATCACTTTCATCGCGTTTACTCATCCCCATAAAACGCTTGATGTAACATTTACATCCGCGATTAATTCAACACTCAAACGAATTTTACTTTCACGTTACAACGGCGTTACTGCTGATCCGTACTATTCACTTTCATTTGTTACCGTTACACTTCAGTAAACCGAGACTAACCGGTCAGTAATTAAATATAATTAATAGAAAAATGATTATGTTGCTCAGTAGCTGGAAATATAAATTCCATTTTACACAGTAGAATAACTTTCACTTGTACATATAAAGTTCCACTATACTATTATTCGCATGAATACAACAAAATTGTTCAAATAAATACTCTTCAATAAACTTTTCAGCTATACTGCATTTCCCAACGATTTGACCTTGCCCTTTCTACTGGCGTTACCGTTAAAGTAACCTTAACTTGGTCGTGAAGTTTCAATCCAAAGACAAGAACAATAAAGCAAGTTAATAAAGTAACGATTAACGGAAAACAAGTTTCGCAAGTTTGTTTAAGAGAAAGTGACATTTACAACGGAACCACTATTTTCATGACAAGTTCTTCCGGTGATTTGCGACAGTCAAGAATTCGTGGTGCAATAACACATCGTTGATCACCTCGGTAACCTCAAACTGTTTGTGAATTATCTGATAACTAATCTCGTTAAGGAGTTACATACACGTAGGTCAATAGAGTCGATTCTTTGAAATTATTTCTATTCACTGGGAGATGAGCGTTACATAAATTGGACCACTTTCGACATACCCTTAAATTGTAATACTTGTATCATTTTCGATTTATTTGAATATAATGTCTACAATAATTTATACAGAACAATACAAATAAAAATATTCTCCATTTCGTTCGTTGAAAATATTATAATATAACGTAGACATAACATATTTCGAAGTGTAATTTCATTACAGTTCCAAAACAGTCTCTCATAGACCCTTAACAATACGATTGGCGAAGAAAGTCTTCCATGTAATCATCAAATAAATATTTTAGAAATAAATGGTACACGTTACTTGAAAAATCAGAGGTTACACTATTTCCCCCATCTTAACTAAAAATCTTAATTTCTATACCAAATTTCATTCTTGAAGTCTCGCAAGACACCACGAAATATTAACAAAAATACTTTTACTCGACTCCTCTTTATCACACGGCTACCTCAGCTCCTTTCCCAGCAAATCCAAATATTATTATTAAAAGCTAACAATTTCACTTCTCTCCTGTTTATTCCCCTAAACAGGAAATTTCTGCACCGAATGATGCAAAGGTCGAACAGAAAACTGAGCCGCCCGAAGCGTAACGTGACAAGGCGAGAATTAATTCCCCGATCACCTACCTTGCTTCGAATCATGTTGCACGGATGTAATCGCTGACCGCACTGAACACAAATTTAACAAAACTCCAAGGTTGTTCTTTTACTTTTTCGTCACTCGAATGAAAGGAGCAGGCGTGCGCCTACGTCCCAGACTTCTTCTCGGCTTTAATCGAACACGGATCTTCCGTATCGCGTCGCGCACACCATCCTGACACTTGTCAACCCGTTGCCTCTTCGACAGAGGAGCACCACAACTCCGTACTATTAACACAAAAAAATGCTCAGTCTCGTATGAGCACACGGCTTATATAGACTCCGAGAGGGGCACCGGTCGAAGGAATTCTCGGCTGAGCTAGCCGAGTAAATCGAGGAAACGAGAGACCGAAGGGAGAGAGCGAGAGAACGAGAAGCAATGAAGAGAGACGGGGACATGGATCGAGAAGGAGGCAGGGTCAGAGAGAGGGAAAGAGTCGAGAGGACGTTCAGGACGAGAAAACCGGGAGAGGGAACCCTCACACATCGGTTAAAAATTCTCTTTGCAGAGAAAGTAGGCTAGCCCTGTCTCTGACTGGCCGAAGAAAGATGCACTCGGAAGTATCGGACCGATGACGGATCTCGGTCCTACGCTGACCGAAGGAGATCCTGCGGTTGGATCATCGATTCATACGATTAAGGCGTCTGGCCATTCTGAGCGCTCGCCAGATGGGTACTATTCTTAAAAAAAAAAATTAATTAAAAGATTAATCAAGTAATCGAAAAAATCCATTGCTATTCTTCAGATAATGTATCTAAAAGTATTGTGTACAAATTTCAGAGCAATCGGACCGTACGTTTACTTTCTTTTGGGATTATCTCGAAACTACATTTTTCGAAATGGTACAACGTAAATCTTGTAAAATATCAGTCCGATTGCTCTGAAATTTGTACACACTACTTTTAGATACGTTATCTGAAGAGTAGCAATGGATTTTTGCGATTACTTGATTAGTTTTTTTTTATTGACGATTTTTCTCGTGAAATTTCGGTGAAAAATAAAACAAAAATTTCTTCGGCTCACCATCATTTTCTTAATGGTAAAAAAAAATCCATTTGCTACTCTCTTGCGACAAACTGCAGAAACAGACTAATTCTTTTTTTTCTTTTCCACATGCAACCTAAAGAATATAATGATGGTACAACCCACGCGCGTTTCGTCCCGAAGGCCTTCACCAAAATTTTCGAACCGCCGCCATTTTTTTTTTGTATTCTCAAAAAATTGTTCATGTGTTCATTAAACCGTTTTTTAGTATGTGTCAAAACATACAAATATTTTTTTCTATACTTTCGCATTTATGAATTTTTTAAGAATAGTACCCATCTGGCGAGCGCTCAGGGTGGCCAGACGCCTTAAGCGGAGAACTGCTTTCTTTCGGCCAAATAATCGATCCTTTGTTGTTGAGAGAATCTTATAACGCGACCATTCGAGTTTTTATTTTTTGATAAATACTAAATGTTAATATAGTTTCAGTATACAGAACACTAGTAGTGTGTTAAAATTCGAAATCTTTTAGGTGTTATTAGTCCGATACAACAGTATGCTACCAATCATTTCAAAACTGTGTTCAGACTAACTATGTAGTGGTATGCTATGTATCAATTTAAAACGCTTCAGAGAGCAAGTGATAGCATCATGACGAAAGCAGGATCTGCTGAAACAGCTTTCCCGATGAGTCCGATAGCTGATCCAGGATGTACCGCAGTAATGATGCTCTGTGTGCCAAAAGTATTGCTTTTATCAAATCGTGTACCGATGACCAGAGCGTAAAAATATCTTATGACTAAGATAGGTTCTGCTCAAGGTTCTGCTCACTTCTGGAGTCATTCGAGATCCTCCTAAAATATAAATTTGATCAGATTTAAATTGAATGCTGTCTATTCTGCTAGCTAAATCTCACCGATAAGTATTGAATATTGCCGTTTGTACCAAAAATATTACTCGTTAAGCAATAGAAAGTTCATTTAAATATACTGGAAACCTATAAATGGACGCGAAAACCTGTAAAAGGTGAGTGATCTAGGCCATATTTAATTTGTGAGAGGTTCTGCTACCAACGATAAATTCGGAGGAAATCAGGATCCTGTGTAACAGATCTTCAATTGTAGTTAATCTTGAAGTTATTCGAGCGAAACTTATAGAAATCTGTAAGGTCTTTGTTCCGACTTTCCGTGCTTTCTCAAATAATTGACCAATTGGTCAGAGAAAAAACATTCCTTTATAATAATTACGAGTGATTCTAATCGTCACAGTTTAGCATAGAACAAGTAAGAGGAAGCATGGAAACAGATTCGTGTAGGTCTAATTACAGAAATTGAATACAGATTTATTCAAAAATTAGAAAGCATCTTGTTATCGTTAACAATGTACGATATACGAGAAAGCTACGGTTATTGACATCAAGAAAGTCTTCACCAAGAATCTTTGAAACACTCATAAGATTAGAAAAATCGATTGTAGAGGTACTCCGAGGTAGAGGAATCTTTAGTTACTGGAAGTTGAATATACGAGAAAACTTGAGTGATTTATGATAAAATGTGATAAGATCATTTTTCTTTTAATTAATTGCACTACTTCACCATACAATAAGTATCATGAAAAAATTAAATTGTGAGAAATATATTTAAATAATAAAATATAATTAGTCATCCCTAAACGGTTTCGCTATTTGTATCTATCTTAAAAACAAGATCGATGAACCTTTATGACAGAAATATTTTACCGCTATCATCTTTTAATGACGATTATTATACAACATAACGGTACGGGGCAATTTAATTGTATTGTATATCATTGCATCATCAGAAAGTACTCGTTCATTTTTAAAACTCAAGTATACATAACAAATACTACTGCTCGAATAATCAGAGATTATTAAAACATTATATTACAACACTGTCGTCTTTACTATTATTAGTTTCTACATCACTGTCAAGTTTCGGAAATATCACTTATAAATAAGTGGAGGCAACGCAGCGGACGGAATATCATTTGTCGCCATTTCCTATTGCGTAATAGCAATTAAAAGGACATTCGACGCAGTATAAAAATGGCTAATGAATGGAATTGTCCATCAAAACCCACGATACTTTTTACGCTACCTTGTAAGTACACTCCCGACGTTAATCAATGATGCATGGAAATGGATGTCGTGACTTTGAACGGAAAACATTCTACGCAATGCGACATGATTCTGTACACACCGTGCAACTATCAGCTATAGCACTCGCTGGTATTGTAATTAATTATTACGATTTGAACGGAATTTAATTCTATATTTATGTAAATTTTCAATATTTTTTGTTTGATTACTGAAACTAATGCTTGAAGAATATATTTACAGTGTTTATTTGCCTGTTTAATTATTTGTTACACCATCAACTCGAAAACTATTCAACATATTTTTTAATTCTGTACATATTCAAACGTTTAGACATATTCTACTTAGAAAAGGAGGTTTTTTTTATTGAACTGTGCCTTAGAATTTTTGAATGTATTTATTTTTATTACCTTAAATATAATATATACTTGAATTATAAAACGATTAAACAGTAAGCAGACATTTTTTCTTGCTAAGTTAGAAGGAAAATAAGAATTTGAATCGTAGCAGTGTTAGCGACTTACAAACGAAGAAGTGTCGAGTAAATAAATTCTTGTTGAAGCAGTTAATTACTGTACAATAGTAACGTAATTCGCAGTGAAGAGCAAAGTACAATGAAATAGAAACGCGACCTGTTTCACAGCTCCGCGAGTCGTTCGAGTCGGGGATCAAATCCGAACACGCGTGAACTACCCTTTCCTGTGTCAAAGTCAAACAGAACGTGTTGCTGTTAGCTCCGGATGGTTTACAATGTCGTAACCAAAGGCTGCAATTCGTAGTCGGTCGTCGATTCTAGTTACAAGAGAAATTCGACTCGTGTAAGCGTTGCGTTCTACCATGAACACACGCTCGCTTCCAGATCCGCCTTATACGTATATTATTATGCTAATACAACAGGAGTATTCGGAATGCCGGATTTTCCTCTTTCGTCTGAACCTGTGTAAGCTACAAATTACAAGATACATGTTCTCCACTTTGATTAACGAAACAAACGGATGCACGTAGACGATCCATGGAGATCCAACAGGCGCACGTCTGCGTTACTTTGCTCCAAACATTCTCCCAGGTCTCGTTTCAAGTATCTTCGACCAAATTCGTGATGTTCGTTGCAGCTGCGCTAAATTAACTAGCTATTAACGTACAATGGTTATGGTACAATGGGATTATTACACAAAGTAAAACACATGATGAGTTTAAGAATTTTTCTGTGAAGCGAGAATAATGTTATTGTTTTACTTTGTCTTTGTTACGAATAGTCGTTTGTGTTTAAGGTGGTTTGGTCAAAAATGATAACAGTTCAGATCGTTTCATAACTTTAAAAATTTTAAATTGATATCTGAATAAACATCTGTGTGAAATATGGGTTTAATTTACCATTTAGTTTGCTAGATATGATCACTTGAATCTGACGGAAAAACAATTTGTATAATACAGATTGAAACCAAAAATGTACGGAAAGTAATTTAATAAGTAAAATAATATTTTGTATTATATATGTATGTACTATATGTGACTCATCCCCTTGATCTTGACTTTCAGATAGGGATCCTAGGCATCGAGGGATGAAGTTGAATTAATTCGGCTTCGTGTACTCTGTGCATGTTCTGCAGACGCTCGGTATATGTCTAAAAAGAGAGGAGAGGCGTAGTTTCCGAACGTGTGCATATAAGATGAAGCGGTGTATATATCCGCAAAGACCCATTCAGGTCCATTACGTTGGCATCAATAATTCAGCGCAAAAATGCCGCCCCTCACGGTTACATACAGCAAGCCTGTCGACGCTGTACCAACCGATGAACCCGCGGAAAGCCCGAAATAACGAAAGAGCCGCAAACAAAATTGTTTCTGCTAAAAGTTGGGACATATACTGTAATTAATTGTCCAACGATATGTTGTGATTTTTCTAGCTATGTTTTTAACTCTCAAACTCCATTTATTTCACTTCTTTGCAATAAGTATTACTCTCTTGGAACGTGTTGGCTGAAGGAAAATTAAAAGTTGTATGGTTTTTATTTATAATTAAATGGTAAGTTTAAGTTAGAAAGGCACATAATTAATTTCTATACCTATTAAATACAGTGCCTCACAAAAATTTGAGATGAACAAAATGTATGAACGCTTCGTAGTATCGAGTTAAATGTCATGCCCTTCACTCCATAAAGTTATATCCTTGAAAAAGCATAAGCTACAGGAAGGAAAAGGAGAGCGTATCAGGTTTATATTCACCTTTCATTCCGAAGAGGTCATCGACCGACAAGTACGCAATAGTTCGGATGTTCTTCGAAATGCATTACGTAAGTTTCGCTGTAGTAAATTAGCTGTCGATAATGGTAGTCTTCAAAACCCCTTCATCGACACTTTTTCATTACTTTATTTAATTCCTATTCTACATTAGTCGAGAATCAGAGCATGGACTATACTAAGAAATGGGATATTCAAAATATTTGAAAATTATAGGAAAACATAATAAAAAGAAACTAAATTATATCAGACCGAATGATACACATTTATGAAGTATGCTTATACTTACTTATTAAGTGAATTGTCTAATTAATAATAATAAAGGCGTATACATGAATAATATAAAAGGAAGTTATTAGTGATTGTACTGTCCTCGATAGCTCTTAGAAATTGTTGATTATCGCACTTGATATTGTAACCACTTTATCATGTACTTGGATTAGCGGTAATACCTGATACGACTTTCGAAATTCTTGGAGTTATCAGTAGGCATGTTTATTGTACTGTTTATCGAGTCAAGAGCGATTCTAATAAGCAGTACGAGGTTGTCTGATTGATAACTCATC